GTTTTCAGCCCTCTTCACCTTGCTGTGGTTTAGGACCGTCCGTTTTCTTTGTCTTCCTTCATTTCCTGCACTTGCACAAGGTTTAAGGGATAGAGCGTAAAACACAACACCGTGGATCTGACTCAGACTGAAGAAGCTTCACTATGTTTCAACACTTGGGGGGGTTGCTTTATTTTTAAGATTTGTTTAATTTTTAATCACATATATGTGTGGGGGTGCCTGTGGAGGCTAAAGGCGTCCCTGGAGCCCCCCAGTGTGGGAGCTGGGAACTGAACTTTGCTCCTCTGCAAGAGTAGTAGCTTGTTCTTAACCATTATGCCATCCTCCCAGTCCCTTGTTTCTAAGTATTTATTTCTAATAAAATACTTGGGCCCCAGCAAGAAATCTGATTTTGTTCCTCCCCCCCCTCCCCATAGGCCCTGGCTCGAATTTAATGCATGTCTGTATTCATCAGGGTTCTCTGGAATAACAGAATTTAGAGAATGAATATATATTCAGAGAGAGAGAGAGAGAGAGAGAGAGAGAGAGAGAGAGAGAGAGAGAGAGAGAGCGAGCGAGAGCGAGAGAGAGCCATTGTTTGATTAGGGGTCCAGCTAATCCAACAATGGCTGCCTATGAATGGAAGGTCCAGGAATCCAGTAGTTGTTCAGTCCATGAGGCTGCATGTCTCAGCTGATCTTCAGTAGATGCCGGAATCCCAAAGAGGTAGGCTCTGATGCCGGTGAAGGAGTGAGGCTTGCTATGGAGAGTGAAGACAAGCAGGCAAAGAGAGAGCTTCCCTTTTCCAGGCCCTTTATAGGCTGCCAGCAGAAGGTATGGCCCAGGTTAAAAGTAGATCTTCCCACCCCAGATCTGGATTAAAGGTGTGTCTTCCCACCTCAAAGAGCCAGATTAGAAGTGGGTCTTCCCTCCTTAAATGATTTAATTAAGAAAAATTCCCTCACAGGTGTGCCCAGCCATTTGGGTTTTTGTTAATACCAGATGTAGTCAAGTTGACAACCAAGAATAGCTGCCACAATGTCCTTCCCCTCCTAAATCTGGTCTCTTTATGTTTAAAGAATTTGCATCAGCAGTAGCACAGCTGAGTATCGACCATCCCTGTGTCGCTCAGCATTGCTTCTGAGATTTCTCCATATGGGTGACACTAGTTAGGTGTGTAGCGCATGCGCTGCTGCAGAGTCGTGTGGGACTGCATGGCTCTCCCTCCGCCTTCTGCTGATGCCCACCGGGCTTTGAACATGTGTCTCTGTGTGTACAGTGTGTGTACAGTGTGTCTGCATGCGCCTGTGTGTGGCCGAGTATGATCTTCCACAGTCATAGGATAGGCTCATCTTCAGTTTAACTGGATAGACACTGCTCAGATGTATAATCCCGCTGAGGAACCCTTGCTGTCTCGTGTTCTCATACATGCTTCGTACACACTCACACATCAGATGCTTACATTTTACTTTTGCCAGTCCAGTAAATGAACCCTGCTTTTGTTCTTGATGCTATCTGTGTTCCCCTGACTACCAGGAAAATAGTCTCCTTCCAGGTGTGGAGGGCCAGTGGGGCTCAGTCTGTGAGGACTCTGTCTGCACTCATTTGGGGCTGCTTTTCTGTTGGAGTGTCTTTTCTTGTTGACTGAGAGAATTCCTTATAAATTCTGGCATATTAGTCATCTATCAATTGTCTTTTTTTTTTTTTTACTTTATTAACTTTATTTTTAACAAAAGATTTAACCTTTTATCTTTTAGTTATATGTTGAGTTTATCCATGTTTTGTTTTGTGTGTTTTTTTTGCTGTTGTTGTTTTGTTTGTTTTTTTGGTTTTTGGTTTTTCAAGACAGGGTTTCTCTGTGCAGCCCTGGCTGTCCTGGAACTGTTCTGTAGACCAGGCTGGCCTTGAACTCAGAGAGATCCACCTGCCTTTGCCTCCTAAGGGCTGGGATCAAAGGCGTGCACCACCACTGCCTGGCTATGGCTTATGCTTTTTTTGTGATTAATTTAAGAACTTTTTCACTAAATAAGGCTGTAAATATTTTTCTCTTGGAGTTTTTATCTGGATCTTTAACCCTCTTGGGTTTGATCCTTGCATACAAAACTGTTTAGGAGCAGGCTGAAATAGCTGAATCTGTAATCTCTGAAGGAGCCTCTTGAGTTTTCAGGAAACCCAAGACAATTAATTCCAAAACTATTAGAATGCATAACGGTGTAGTGCAGTACTTGGATTTCAAGTAAGTATCCTAAAATAAGTTACTTTTTAAAATGCACTGGCTAGGGCAGCAGAGCTAACTCAGCTGTTGAAAGCGCTCTACCCCTGAGCTGCATTCCCAGCTCTAGTCCCCCTTTTCACTTTTTAAAAATCTGTGCATTGTCTCACTGAGTTGACCAGACAGTCTCGACCCTGTGATCCATCTGTCTCAGCTTTCCAGACAGCTGGGTTTCAGACCCCCACTACTGGGCACAACTCGATCGAATTTTGTTTTTAAAGGGAACCTTAGCCGTTATCCCAAAGGACATCTCAGAGAATAAGCAGGAGTATGGAAGGCAACTCTGAACAAGGACAGCAGCATTGGAAGACTTGACCCTAGACATCGTCTGTCACAATATATAATGTACACATCATTAACACTGAATCATGTAGTCCGACAGTTGGAAAGCATATAACCAAGGAATCATTTAGTTTATTCAGTAAATAACTTGTGGGTAGCTGCCTGTGAAACTGAAGCAAGGAGAGGAATTAGATGAATCTTGACCTTACTGTTTATAGTATTAAATTGTGGGTGTTGGGTCTCCCCTTCCATGTGTGGTCCTGGGATCAAACTCAGCCTGTCAGACTTGGCAGCAAGCGACTTTACCCACTGAACCATCTAATCAGGAAAACTAAGATACCTCTAAATACAAAATAAAAGAAAACCGATATGAGACTGTGCTAGGGAGACTAGTAGCACACTGTATGACGTATAAAAATGGTAGCTACCTTCAAAAACAACACTGGTGCCTAGCGGAAAGGTAAAAGAGGTCACAGCAATGGCTGTTTAAGAAAATTCAGTTCCACTAGTAACTGAGTTAATAAAACAGAGGATGTATACTTTATTTTCTTGAGACAAGCTCTTGCTATATAGTTCTGTGAGTTCGAAGTCAGCCTGGTCTACAGAGCTAAACCCTGTCTCCAAAAAAAAAAAAAAAAAAGTCAGCATCCTGGTGGTAAATACTATTCTATACTTTTGCAAAAGGCATGAGAAACTCGGTACCATGTACAGAAGTTCTGTCTGTATTGTTTCTTATGACAGTGTGTGATTATACAATTGTATCAGTCCAGCCTTCCATTTTATAAAAGGAGACACAGCCCTGAAGGCAGAGGGTTGAGCAGTGGAATGCTTCTGTGTGGGGGCCCTACCTAGACGAGCTGGCTCTGCAGCCCCCAATACCTCTGCGGCTGACCTTAGTCTCCCCCGTTGTCACACAGCGGGTTCAGAACATCCGAATCGACGGCTCCACTTCTTCAGCAGACCGCGAGGATCTGTGCCAGCGGTTCCAGCTGTCCAAAGGGCACGCCGTGGCCGTGCTGTCCATCACCGCCGCCAACATGGGCCTCACCTTCTCCTCGGCTGATCTGGTGGTGTTTGCTGAGCTGTTTTGGAACCCCGGGGTAAGGGGACCTTACGCAACTGGAATCCTCCTGGGTGTGCTCGGGGCTGAGAAATACAAGGTCCATAAATGAATGGTAGAAGATATGCTCTTGGGCCTGGGGAGCATAGCTCAGTGGTTAAGAACACTAGCTGCTCTTTTAAAGGACCTGGGTTCAAATCCCAACACCCAAATGGTGGCTCACAGCCATCTGTAACTCCAGTCCCAGGGTGTCTATTCTGGCCTCCATGTGTACCAGGTATACATGCAGTGCACATACATGCAGGCAAAACATTCATGCACATAAAGATACATACATTTTTAAAAAGATGACATGCTCTGCAAGTGTTCCTGGCACTGAGTCCTGTCTGTCTCTGTTCTCTCTCATGCTGTACTTGTTTACTCCTTTCAATCACCGCAACTCTGCGGGCCAGGTTTCAGGTCTTCACAGCAGCCTGTGGGACCATTGACTCCGTCTTACTGATGAGGAAGTCCTGGCAGAGGACTCGGAAAGTCCTAGCCTTCATCTCTCCTGTGAGAAAGCCCAAGTGGAGATCCAGGAATGTAGCACTAAACCTTTAGAAGCACTCACCCAGGCCGCCTTTGTTAACCGTCCCTGGGAGCTGTTTGCCGATGGGGGCCTCAGACAGAGTGGCAATACCAGGTGTTCATGTAATGTCATTGTGTCCTTGACGTGACTGATCACTGATGGCTGCCATGGCAGATCTCAGACTCATAAAATGACTTCTGTCTCAGAAAAAAAGTTATTAAAGTTATTTCCCCTCTAACTTTCTGACATGTTGCTTTTACTGGCTGTATATCAGCCACTGCTTTAATGATGAGTAGACTCCAAGGTTGAGGCCATCCATCAGTCAGTGTCCTGGTGTTAGTTATTATGGGGCTTACCAGCATATGAACACATCCACCCCTGAGCATCATGCAGGACCCTTTTCTGAAGGTGACATATCTAGATATTTGGAAGGTAGCTTTAAAAATTTAGATATATTTTTATGTACATGATTATTTTGCTTACACGGATGTCACTGTACCATGTGCATGCCTGGTGCCCTTGGAGGTCGGAAGAGGGCATTACATCCCCCTGGAACTGAGTTGTAGATGGCTATGAGCCACCTCTGCAGTCCCCGAAAGATAATTTTCCAGTGATAAGAAATGGAGCGGTCCACGTTTCTGTCCTTAGCCCCTCAGCACATAGACACCAGGTCCTGAGGTTTGAGTTCCTCTCAGTTTTTCAAGAGATGGGAAAATGCTTCATAGAGGAAGCTGAGCGGAGCCTGGCGGCTTGGTGCCCCTCACCGTGGAAGGATGGCTTCCCCAGGCCTTTCCTCAACTGCTTCGTTCCCTGGGCACACAGGTGCTGATCCAGGCCGAGGACCGCGTGCACCGCATCGGGCAGACAAGCTCTGTGGGCATTCACTACCTGGTGGCAAAAGGCACAGCGGATGACTACCTTTGGTATGCCTGGGGGACCTGGGGGAGGGGCTGAACTGAGTGACTCGGGGTGTGCTGTCTTGACTCCCTCAGTGCTTAGACTTTTGCTGAGACCAACTAGGGATGCGGCCTGCTTCCATGACCATGTTTCCCTTCACCACTGGCATTCTTGGAGATGTGCAAGGTATAGAAAAACACATTAAGAGTAAAGGGAGGTAGATCTTCTCGCTGGTGCAAGAGGGAGAGGAACCTAGACTTTAGGTGGACTTTTTTTTTCCCCCTTTGGTTTTTCGAGACAGGGTTTCCCTGTGTAGCTTTGTGCCTTTCCTGGAACTCACTTGGTAGCCCAGGCTGGCCTCGAACTCACAGAGATCTGCCTGCCTCTGCCTCCCCAGTGCTGGGATTAAAGGCATGCGCCACCACCGCCCAGCTGGACTGCATTTTGATCCTCCCTGTGTGACTGAGAACATCAGTGTATCACTCTTGAGCCTCAGTTTCCACAGTTATAAAATGAGGACACCAGCACAAGCGTCCATGTCCCCTGAATTGTTCTGAAGACTAACTGGTTTTATGTTGCCTGCCCAGTAAGCTGCTTGCAGGCAGTAAGCCATCAGTCAAAACAAGGATTATGAGCTGCGAGGAACTGAGTCTAAACAAGCCAGTTTCGATCACTAGTAACAAAGAAGGGGCTGTGACGGCCCCCAACACAGCTGTCTGATAGATTCCCATGCCTCTGGTAAAATAGGTGATAGTGATTGCCAACAAAATGGCCACACGGCCAGAAAGTGTGCATGGTGGTAGAAGACAGTGCCCTGCCTTCCAGCATTCCTGGATTCAGCAGTCACATCCCAAGGGGGCATGACCTTCTGAGTGGTGACTCTTGGGGACTGTTGGCTTTTGGCCACAGTTATATTTAACCAGGTGGGTGTCTGATAACGGACTGGATACAGACCGCAGTGGGTGGTGGTGCCCATTCCGCTTTAGGGTAGTATTTTGACAACACCAAACCATAGGGGATTTTGTCACAAAAGGAAAGCTTTTGTTTGTTCATATTCTCCCACATGCCCAGTCCTTTGTACGGCCATTTCATCACCCAAGGTGAGTATCTTGAGTTTACAGTGTTCTCCTGCAGTTTTGATTAACCACCATGTACTCTGCCTTAAATTCTTAGCTCAAACACTACTAAACCTTTTGTGTTCCTCGGGAAGTTAATCTTTGCTTTCTGCTTTGATTCCTCTACACTTGGCAATTATTGTAACATCACAATTGTCTTATTCTATCTCTGTGTTTCCTATTAGACTGTGAACTCTGTATTAAAAACCCTGCCTCTTTGGCCAGGGATCAGAGAATATCTGGAACCAACAGCCAGTACTGGAACTCTTACTGCTCATTAATAACTTTAAAATGAATGGATGGATGAATAAACAGACACTGGCAATATATGATAAGTGATGTACATAAAGAGCTTTGCACATAGTAGGAGTTTTCCTCACCCTATCATGTCCACCTGAGGTTTATGAGCATATATGCTATCTTACTTCCATATATATTTGTCTTGACTTGTCACAGGACACAGCAGGAACTCAGACGCTGATGGAAAGAACAAGTAAGTATTCAGCCTCCATTGTGTTATATGTTGCATGATATGGTTGCATTAGATTTCATATTTGCATAGTCACTGTTGCCTGATTCCCAACCTTGTTGCACACACCTAGCCTGTATCAGTCATTGACAAAATCTGCATGAAGTCTACAGACCAGCAGAATGGAGACAGGGATGCTAATACAAGGAAAAGGTGAGGTGCTCTATCTCTTTTTGTTTGTTTGTTTCTTTCTTTGTTTGTTTTTTGAGACAGGGTTTCTCTGTGTAGCTTTAGCTGTCCTGGAACTCGCTCTGTAGACCAGGCTGGCCTTGAACTCACAGAGATCTGCCTGCCTCTGCCTCCGAAATGATGGAATTAAAGGAGTGCGCCACCATGCCCAGTGAGGTACTCTATCTTGAGGTGCAGCTGCGACCTCTAGGAAGTGAATGACTTCCACCCAAAACTCTCCTTCAGGAAGAAACAGAATCCTAGGAGATGATGCAGGTGGAGCTATGGAAAGTCTCAGTGTTACCCCTCCACGCCCTGCAGCCGACTAATCCTTCTCATGCTCAAATCACTCTCTTGTACAATTTCCCTTTAGATTGCCAATTTCTTTCTTAGAGGGTATTCTGTTTTGACAGGACCATAGAGTATCCAGGTCCTTGGTGAAACACTACTCTGGGTGTGTTCATATGGGTGGTTCCAGTTAAGAGTCACGTTTAATATTTGATCTTATAGACCGAGCAAAGTGAAAGGGCCTTGACCAGTTGGCTAAAGAACAGAGCACAACTGTGAGTAAGGGCATTGTCTTAGAGTTTCTATGGCTGTGATGAGACACCATGACGGAAAGCAGCTTGGGGAGGAAAGGGTTTATTTCATATTATAGTTTATGGTCCATCATCCCAGCAAGTCCGGGCATGAACTGAAGCAGAGGCCACTAAGGAACGCTGCCTACTGGCTCGCTCCTCCTTGCTTGCTCAGTTTGATTTTTTTTTTTTTTTAATGCACACCAGGACCGCCAGCCCAGAGGTGGCACCACCCACAGTGAGCCGGGCCCTTCCACATCAATCATCAATCAAGAAAATACACTGTAGGCCTGCCCACAGGCCAGTCTGGTGGGGGCATTTTTTCAATTGAGCTTCCCTCTTCCAAACGACTCTAGTCTGTCGAGTCGACAGAACACAAGCCAACACAGGCATCCTCCTGCTTGACTGCTGGAATGGGGCATTTTCTCTTCGGGCTTTCAGGCTCAAACTGAAAAATGGCTTTCTTTAGGTCTCAAGTTGCTGCTCAAACTGTGACTGACAGCATGGATTCTCCGGATCATCTGGTTTTCAGACTGAACTGGAACCATTGTCTTTCCTGAGGTTCCAGCTTGCTAACTGCAGACTGTGGGACTTAAAGACTCCATAATGACATGAGCCTATTCTTTACAATAAGTATCCCCTTATATTCTATCTATCATCTATGTATGTATGTATGTATGTATGTATGTATGTATGTACCTCTATCTATCTATTTATCTATCTATCTATCTATCTATCTATCTATCTATCTATCTATCTATCTATCTATCTATCTAATCTATTTATATATCTATATCTATCACCTATCTACTATCTATTATCTATATATTCTATAATGTACCTATCTCTATATCTACCTATCTACCTAATCTAACACCTATCTATCTATCTATCTATCTATCTATCTATCTATCTATCTATCTATTTATCTATGTACTTACCTATCATCTATCTGCTTCCCAAGGGCTCTGTTTCTTTGGAAAAACATAATGAATATAGGGCATAAGGAGGAAGCATTCCTTTCTTAGTATGAATATGACAGAAGCTAGGATGGATAATCTTTGCCCACTTTCATTGCATCCCTCTGGAATGAGAGCGGGTATAATTTCTAAGTAACAGGTGAGGAGACTATCAAAGCTCAGAGAGGTGAAACAACATACCCATGGTCATACAACCAGCAAGTGACCAAATTAGATTAAAACCACATTGCTTTTAACTCCACCATCAAAGTCATTTGTCTCCCACCCAGCCATATCCTCCACTGCCCATTTCATGTCTTTATTACAGAGTAAGGTCTTTGTGGACAGAAACCAAGTCTAATTATTATTATTATTATTATTATTATTATTATTATTATTATTATT